CAAGTCTTCATCTCAATTATTAGAATCAGGATCAATAAAGTCTGCCACCTTAGAAAGTAATTGAACCCCTTTCACGGTAATAACGTTCATATCAGCACAACTAATGAGCTTAACATTCATATCAGCACAACTACGAATCCATGCATCACTCCAAATATTAATATTATGTACATTCCCTACTCAACATATATAACCATGCTTCAGAGAATTGACACCCACCATAATACTTTGCCAGGTGAAAGAAGATCTTGTTTCTTACTTTGAGTTCCATAAATCGCCATCAGGAAAATATTTCGGTCTCAAAACAGTGGCACATAGAGATTCAGGGTTCTGAAGAAGGCGCCAGCCCTGCTTTGCCAACATCACTAAATTGAAACAGGGAATATCGCCAAAACTCATCCCTCCTTGATTCTTTGGAACACACATTTCGACCAAGCCATCCAATGCATCCTCTTTTGGTTGTCCTCGTCACCCCACCAAAAATATCACATCACATCCATAATTCCTTTACAAATGTTTGTGGTCCCTACTTTACTTCATCTCGGGTGGGTGAGACAAGGCGACTATGGGTCGACCCTCCTATTTAACCTAGCTATTGGTGCCCTTGAGGCCATGGGCCACATAAACATGCCATTTCAAATCTATTTTTAGATTAAAAGAATTTAGAATTCATTAGAACGGAAATTAGGGAAAATGGTAATAAAAGAAATATGGGTGGGCCTATTCGAAGGAAGTGGTGATCAACTGTTCGTGGGAGACCGAAGATGACTCCGAGGACCCACTGCTCCGACTCTTCTTTCGCTGCAAGGGACTGCGCGTCTAATGGTAATTTCGTGATCTATCTCCTAAGTATGCTCCTAGGTGATATGTGTGGTAGGATTAAATTTTAATTGGCAATAGTTTCACACCATGTAGCCCAACAGGGTGGTCGAACTCCCCGTCCTCTACTAGTTCTGTTGGAGGCGGGGGTCGGTGACGACCTATGGCTTGGTGTTGGAGCTCAGCGCGTGAGGCACCATTGTGTTTTGATGGTGGCAGGGGTGACCCGGGGAGGGAGGCAAGGGGCTCTTGGCATTGTTAACGCCGAGATCAGGAGGATCCAGATGGGTCATGTCGGTGGCCCTGGTGCCCGATGACGGTGGGATGGCTGTTACGCGGCCAATGGTTGCTGACCTGCCCCTGCCCGGTTCAGGCCAACTAGGACTGGGCCCGGCAATGGGCTCATTTTGATGTAGGAAGGAGAGGCATTCTACCCTTCATCTATTGCCGTGGTGGTGTTTGTGGGTTGGTCTCCGATGTCGGCGCGGCGGTCCTGGTGGTGGGAGCCACTATGCTCTTGGACAAGGCTCGTGGCTCTGGTTTGGGCTAGCAGCCATGGCCATGCAGGCCACGTGGTAGTCAATGCTCGGAGGCCAAGGGTAGTTTCCAAAGTGGAGAACATGCCGAGGAGTGATTCCTGCCTGGCTTAGTCCAGGCCGGCGGCTGCAGCGTCTGCAGGCGTCGTCCCCTTCATGAAGGCTCATTACGGTTCTCTACTTTTTCCGTTTGCTCTGAGTGAAAACCTTGATCTTTTTGAATCCGGTGGTGGTGGTGCTCCAGTGTCGGTTTCTTCCTGAAGGCGTCGTCTTGAAGTCCACAGCTCGTCGGGCGCAGCTTTGTCTCTTCGTGGCGTCTCCATCACGGTGGAGTACTCCGATAACTCGGGACTCTAATTGCATGTTTTTTGTTAGCTTGGAGTGGTTGGGGTGGTGTGGTTGTTCTTGGCACAATTGTATCATGTATTTCTGTTGTGTGGTCAGGTTGTATGTCTTAAGTTGTATGGTCACTGTTTTATATATATAACTGACGCGAACCTTTTTAGTAACACTGGTTTGGAGAACCATGTGCTTGATTTAGAGGAACGGGAGATAAAGAGCATGGAGTACATACTCCTAAGAGTATAGCACCATTTTTCTTTATATGTGTGTGCCCGCGCGCGCCGTGCAGAGAATATATTATAGAATAGAGGGAGTATATGCTAAAGTTGTGTATTTATGACTAAAATGCCAAGAAAATCTCAACTACTTGATGCTCATTTCCCGTCGTTGTAAGTTAGCATGGACATGCATCCATGCTACTTGGAGACCCTCATCCCCGGAGAATCTACCGTCACCTATTCGAAATTTGTCACAGTCCCTACTTCCTACGTAGGTTGTGTGCATTGCATATGACAATATGAAAATAATGTTGTAATCTAGTGATGGAGCACAGATTAAAAAAATTGCATGGTGAAAATAATACCATTGATGGTCAAAAGTATGATTGAGAAAGAATAGCTCATCAAATCTAGCAATCTAGATAATCACACGTGTAAATCCCAATCAAGCACTCATAATTTGTTATTGTCTCTTTTTAGTCTAAATGATCTTAAATGCCTTCAATTTTAAAGATTGGGATTGTACTTAGGCTGTGCTATCTCTTGATTTCCATGAGCAACTCGACACTAGCACGAAATCGAACTGTTGTGTGCGGTGCTCGAATCTTGGCCCATCGCATTCCTTTGTCTAACAGCCAATCGCCTAGTCCTCACAGCCGCGTTGGTTGCCACAAAGTGGTATACTGCCGTTATCCATGATGTTTTTTGTGATCGGTCAATTGAGGGGATGGTATACATCCGCCGGGAGAGATGCTCCATTCGATTGGCTCACACGAACGATTGGATTCGCACTCGGCGGTCATCGCAACAACTAGCACCCACACGTGTTACCGGAGCTCTGCACACACGTCCCCCACACCAGCACCCGACCATCATCCAAGCAGCACCATAAATCATCTAGGCAATCTCGGTCAGCACTTATAGCAATCGTTGGCCTTGTAGCATCAGTGTCGTCCCCTTGCAACACCATGGCGATCCTTTGAACCACCGTCGTCACCCATTGCAACAACTCAGTTGAGCTTGCAGCATGGGTGGCAAGAGGTTGCCGGTCTTGCTGCAGTGAGCGGCAACCTGTGTAGTGGTGGGCATTGGCTGCAATAATAGGTGATTCCCGGGGTTACGGGGAATGGTAGCAAAACCTTGCACGTGCAGCGACACCCGCCGACTTTTGGTGTTTGTCTCGGTCGGGGGGCAAGGGTGGAGTAAGGCGAGACAGAAAAATGATCCTGTAAGGTGAGGCGCTCTAATTTGTGTGGACGAAAAAGAAGGGGAGCAACGTAAGATGTGTCCAAATAATGAGGTGAAGACACTATGTGGGGTCCAAAAACATGTTCCAAGAAATTGACGTGGCCAAAGACGCGCCACAGATTGGAGTCATTTCCCATGGTCCGGTTGATCCACAATGTGTTTCTTTAGTTAAATCTTCTTATTAGCTTGATGCTTCGCGGGTCTGGGCAACACAATGCGGTGTACTGTCCTTGCAGCCGAGCCACACACGTCTCCAGAGCACATGAAACTTGGCACAACCTAGAAAAGCTCATCACATATAATGCACTGGCGATGCAGGAGTCGCATTCTTGGGTGTTGTTTTCTGGTGCACATTTTTTTCCCAATGCCTCCCCATCCTATCCTTGCTGCTTGCACATGACAGTGCTTTATTGGCCTCATTGACATTGCTAAATTAACTTCATGTCCTCGTAGATTAGTGAAGACTATCATTACATATGACTTATTCTCCCTTGGTTTCTTTCCTAGTATTGAGCAAGTAGGTCTCCATAAAATCTCCCAAAATCATATATTACCATGTGGTGTTGATGGATGTGTTGAATGCTATGTGGTCTTGAGGATGAGCTTCTGTGAACTTATATAGACGTGAGGCCGTCAGGACTAGATCATAAAGAGAGACTCCAATACCACTACTCCAGCTGAATGCCCACTTATTTTTGCACATGAATAATTTGTATTGTGTTTTATAATATAATTTGTCTATCAAACATTAGATAGATGCCACCATATAGTACTAGTTGTTTCTGCGAATGGACAGATAGTAATAATGCGTTGTGACTTAAGTTGGGAAAGAAGATATCTTGAGTTCAACTCTTCCTTTTAATTTTCCCTAATGTTATCTGGCAACCGTTCCCCAGGAGGAAAACCCCAGCGAACCCCCTCATAGCCACATGATAAAGATCTGACGGTAACCATTTTCGAATAAAAATGCACCAAAAATGCCATTCCCCAAACACTAAAACTGCCAGCCATGCCATTCGCAAATGCCATCCTGGTTATGGAACGGTGGCTGGCTATTGCAATCCTTATTTTTTCCTTGTTATTTTGTTCTCAACATCTCCTTCATGCTAGAGGAGATTGGATCGGATAGATCGATTTGACACGAATACAAATGTTGTTTATTTATCTGTGATTGTTTAATTTTTCTAACGCTCAGACGCCTGAAACCTTTCAGATTTTATAGCCAATTCCACCATAGGTGCATACGTAGACAACTGGAAATCGAGCTCCAAGCATGAGATGGAGACACCGTGTCTGGCTGAGGTGTCCTCAGCGAAGGAGAGGAAAAGGGTTGACCGGTTGAGCGATAGCTAAGGAGATGGCATCATGATGGAGGAGGCGGCTAGGGCAGGGGCGTGGCAACGAGGCAAGGCCGCGGGTGCTGGTGGCAAGCCGTTATGCCTGGGTTGGAGGGCGGGAGGAGGAAAAAGTAGAATAGTGCAACGCTGAATGCAACTGATTCATAGGCAATTTCTTTCGTTGTTTAACGTCAGGTAGTTAATTCATTTGCGAACGTTTTTGCTGTAATAATTTGTACTCCTCGTAAAGAAATATAAAAGCTTTTAGGTCATTAAAGTAGTGATCTAAACGCTTTTATATTTCTTTACAAAGGGTGTAACTAACACTCACATTCGTGTTACAATAGAGAGAAACCGCACCAAATCAGCCTAGCTAATATCAAACGGGATAGCATCCGGCGCGGCGGAGCGCGCAATCGCACTACTGCACTTGTGCACTGTAAAATGTCTCTTACATGGGTACCATCGGCTGATCAGGCACACGCAGCTACTAGTACTACCTAGCAGTGCACCTGTGAGCTGACCAGTGGGAAGTCGAACGGCGTCATCCAGGCGTACTTGAACCGCACCGGCGCGCCGCTCGGGATCCGCCGGCCGCCCCGGAGCAAGCAGCGCTCGCCGTCGACCGGCCGGATCGCCCGCGGGTCCACGGCCTCGACGCTGCTAAGGCCGTAGCAGCGGAGCAACACCCTGGACTGCGCGCACCGGCAGCGGTTGGTCACCTCCACCGCGTACTCCGGCTTCCCCTCCACGACCCGCCCCGTCGCCGACTGCCTCACCACCAGGTCAGCCGCCCGGCACGGCGTCCGGCCCGCCGCATCTGCTCCCAGCTCGTCGCCTGTATCCACGCACATATCGTTGTCACACCACACACCTACCTATAGCTCGTACCAAGAACATGCTTCGTGTAAACAATTGTTACCTTGGCTGGCGCTGCAGAGGAGCAGCAGTAGCGCGAGGTACACGAAAGCTTGGCTCGCCATGAAGACTCTCGGGTTGCAGCTAAGGTGGCCGTGGTTGCTTGCGTGGTTGTTTGTATCTTCGTGGATCGGTGGATTATAACGGACAAGGAGCGAGCTAGAGCCATCCCCATCACGGCGGGTCAGGACAGGGCCATGAGGGGGCGGGGAGGGTTGTCGTGTGGGAAGAGGGCAAACCAGCATGTGCCATGCCAGGCGAGGCGATCAGGTCGATCCGCCGTTTTCTTCCCCGCAAAAAATGGAAAATGTCAATCTTAACGTTCATGCTTGAGCTTGCAGCAAAGCTCCGCTTTGGCTACAGCTAGCCTACAGGGAACAGCGGGTAGGTGCAGTGCATGCATGGATGATGGGTGACGACACGTACGACCGATATCCCACATGGCTTGCTCCGGGAATGCATGGCGGACAAAGGAGTAGCTAGCGTGCACCGTATTTGTATCCACCGCTCCCACCTGCTTTGACTTCTTAGTTTTGTTGCAATACAAATGAGGTGTCTTTTTGTATTTGTTGTAACAAGCCAGTACATACATGTACATATACATGGACCCCAAACACCACTTACAGACATATAAACCTAAAATGTCTTCCTCTTTACTCTCTCTCGGTCTCCGGTCTCGCTCCTCTCTAGCCTCCCACTGTCGGCAGCCTCTGCATCCACCGGACTCATATTTCTCATGGGTTGAGAGACGGAGTTAAATTTTAGGAGGTCGAATCACAACCAAAACATACCACCTAGCAGCTCCACGCAGTGGCAGTGTTAAACAAAGCGAAGCACGGGCCAATAGACTTCTTCTTAGGCCATGTGTTGTTAATGGGCCAAACTAGTGGCAAAGTCTAAGAGCAATTTCAGAGATAAGAATGGGTCGTCGTCCAATATGGTCGGGAGCAACTAGTAGACGAGCGCACCTTCCGGAGCCTCCCAACGATCGGCGTCATTTGGCGCGCTCTCACCCGCCCGTCATGTGTCGCGCTCTGGGTGCTTCCTCTGGATTTTTTTTATTTTTCTGCACACGTTTTCGGCTTTTTAAACTGTTTTTTTTTGGGCTTTTCCGGCGTTTCGGTTTTTCACCGATCTTCCTTAGCTTTTGGATAAAAAAATGAAAAAAATTCTACATGAAAAAACGTGTTTTCTTTTTTTCTATTTCACGAGAGTCATGGTTTTGCTTTCATCAGAGTCATGGCCGTGCCTCTTGGAAACAAAAAAATGCGTTTTCTGTTTTTTCTTTCTTCCACGAGAGGCATGGTTTTGCTTCCGCGAGAGGCACGGTTGTGCTTTCGTGAGAGTCACGGCCATGTGTAACATCCCAATATTTTAATTTGGAATGGTATGCATAGGTCATTCATGCATATCATATTTTATTGCATTTTTGTTCCGCGATCCTCGAAATCCTAAGCAACTCAAGGACCCTCGGAGAGAGTTGGGGATTTCCTGGTTTTCATATTTGATTTTTATCAAATAATGAAATGAGGATTTTTGATTTTAATATTTTTTTCTCTCCGAAAAATATTTCATTTTAAAATAAATGAGAGGAGATAAAATGACTTCTCCAAAATAATTGAAATATTGGAGGAAAAATATCAAAATCATTTATTTGATTTTGTTTGGATTTTATTTGCAATTAGGAAAATTGCACGTTTTTCAAAATTGCATTTTAGGGCCAAGAAAATGTTCATCTTGTTCTAAATATTTTATTTAGACAGTGAAAATTTGTTTTGGCATTTTTAGGTTTTTATTTTATTTTCTAGGATTTTATTTCTGTCGGCAAAATTGTTTTAAAAAAATCTCTCCAGCCGACTGGGCCGAAACCCAACCGGGCCGCCGGCCCAAGTCGCCGCTGCTGCCTTCCTCGCGCGCGTGTGCCGCCGCCGCCGCCGACTCGGACGAGGAGTCCGAGCCGGACTCCTGCCGCCGCCGCACCTTGCCCCCTACTCCAAGTAGCCCCCCCCTCCTTTAAAGCCACCGCCAAACCCCCCACCACCACACCACCACCGCCGCCCCGTGTTGGGATCTACGGTAGGGTGCGTCGACTGCAAATTAAAATTTCCTACGCGCAGAACAACCAAGAACATGCTACAGGAGATGGATCATAGTTCGTTACCACTAGACGCACAGTGCCGTGCAGCGGAAGAAGAGTTGGGGCAGCGCGTCAGCGTGGATCGTCTCCTCCTCGTCCGATCTCCCTCGTACAACTGGTGGTCGGTTCCCACGTATAGGTTCGCCGGAGCGGCGCAAGTGCACTGCCTCTAACGGTATCCGCGCGTGCAGGAGGAACGTCGTGCGGCGGACTGCTAGGTCCGGTCACACAACCGGCGGCGAGTGGAGGTGTCTATTCGCAACACATGCAAACCCTAGTGACAGCGCCGAAGCGATCAATCCCATGAGTGTGCGGCACCTCCACTATATATATAGGCGTCCGTCGCGGGCTCAACACTTGGGCCTCGCACGGACCCTAAAGCCCATAAGTCTACTCGGCCACAATCTGAATACAGTTCGGATCACATCCGACCAGTGTCCTCAGATCCGACCTCGTAGGTTCCTTCCCTTAAGCGCGTGACCCCTTAGGTTCAAGTCGGCTTGGTCGCAGTTCGGATCACCTCCGAACTGCACGATTGGTAGCGGCCTCTAGCAAGGCATGCCGAACACCAAGCAGACTATGAAGCTGGTTAGCGAACCTGTACATCATACTTCCATTCCTTTTGCCACACGATATATGTTGTCGACCTCAAGGCGAGTCTGTCATCCTTGTGCTAGCCTAACCTCTTTCTCGTTCCAGTGATGCCGACCACTATCCGGATTATCTCATAATCCCTGTCGCATGGCCATGCTTATCCTGGTCAGATCACACGAGGGGCCCAGAGTATATCTCTCCTGGTCAGAGGGGCAAATCCCATCTTGCTCGACCATGTCTCGCAGCATGGGTCTGGACAAGTCTGAAACTTACCTTTGTAACTACCTAGTCACGGATTAGCGTTTGGTCGGCCCAAAGCAAGTCTGTCACCATCCCAAGTACATGCGTCAGCTCAGGTCTTAGGACATAGAACATATGTAGTACTAGAGACTCACGGATGACATATCGCTGCGTCTCATAGTTGGGTCTGTCCGACTCGGACCTTATCTCGACTCGGATCCGACTACGTCGAATCCGACCAGATCCTTCCAAGTCCATATTATCTGGTTAGCATCCAATGCTCCATGGCTAGTGAGACCAAGCCATCGACCGTGTCATATGCCAGTCTAGTTGGCTGCGCGTCCACACAGCCCTTTCGACTAGGGACCTTTTAGGACAGTCATCATACAATGCATAGTCCCACAAACAAGTCTCATACTTGCTGATACACACCATTGATAATGTCCAAGGACTATCTTTATTCATAAACACATAGGAAATATCATCATACATGATTGCCTCTAGGGCATATCTCCAACACCCCGAGCCGCCACCGTAGCCCCGCCGCCTACCGCGCCGCGCCGCCCGAGCCGCCGCCCGCAGCCGCCACCCGCGCCGCCCGAGCCGCCGCCTACCGCCCGCAGCCGCCGCCGAGCCTCGCCGCCCAACCCTGCCTCGCCAGAGGTACCGCGCCGGATTCCGAGCCGCCGGTTTTTTTTAAACCGTTCGTTTTTTTTAGAAAACCCCTAATTCGTTTTTTTTGATCGGTTCGCCGGTTTTTCTCGGTTCTTCTAATTAGCGGACGTTCGTCCGTACTGTTATTTTAACGAACGGTTTTCGCCCGTTAGTTACAGTTAACGAACGCTCGTTCGTTAGTCTGTTCGTCAGTTTTCTTTTTATCGGATTTATCCGCGATTATTTTCGATCGCGATTTCTAATCCGTTCTTAGTTTATGTTTATCTTTTCGCTCGTTAGTCAGAATCAGGCAATTCAAGCGCCTAGATCTTCGTCTCGAGACCCTCTTTCTGTTTAACCAACTTGCACAAGTTTTTGCTACTGTAAAATTTGACCTAAGTCTAGATTAGTAAACGAATCTTGTTTCTTTCGTCGTTTGAGTTTTGTTGCTCTGTTTGATTTGATTCTTTTTGCTAACCGGAGTTCTTAAGTTGAACTTTCTGGTCAACCTCTCTTATTTGAGTTTTGCTTGTGCATCTTTGCTTGTTGCTTATGTATGTTATTGTTTGTTTGCGATAGAACACCCGGAGTGCGAAGCGTGTTACTACGAGTCTCTAGGTTTCGCGGATCGTCGGCAAGGCAAGTAACACATTGATCATACTCTTTTCATACCCAGTTTTTATGCATTAGTTCCAATCCTCAAACATTGCATGATTAGGATGTCATTAACTTGTGGGTTGGGAAGTAGTTGTTGAGGTAGAACCTATTGCCATGTTACTATCAAACCCTTGGGAGTTACTTCTATGCGTTGCTTATATTGCTATGCTATGCTATGCTCGTAGACGTGGTTTGGGTTTGAGTGAAATCCATGACAGATGTGAGTTGTTAATTAATGGTTCAACTTAAGGTGGCAACTTAAATTAACATCTGGGTGGATTGAGGCACCTGGGGAACCCAGTGTTGTCTGGGTTTTTTTTGAAATCCCGGGGTACCCGTGTGATCTTCCTATGGACCGCCACCCAGGCTCAAAGGGAACTGGGATGATTCATGCTAGAAACTTCCGTGTGCAGCCACAAGCTATTATGGGCTCTAGCATAGTTGAGTAAGTTACGTGAAGCTCTTGAAGAGGTAGATCAGCAGGTAGTGGGTTTTGTAGGTTTGGTATGATCTACCGGGGTAAAGAGTTAATGTTTCTGAAAGATTGTGTCTCGGTCATCCGTTTCTCAAACACCATGTAGTGCGAGAAATCCAACATAGGCGACCGGGTCTTGTGGGGTAAAGTGCACAAACCTCTGCAGAGTGTATAATCTAATCATGGTTAGCCGTGTCCCCGGTTATGGACAAATTTGAGTATCTAGTACTTGGGTTATCACATGTATCTCATCACTTTTAATTAATATTGTTGGGTTGTTAACTACTTTAATTTGGGATTGAGTTGGGGTTACCTTCTCAATATTGTTCAACCACCATGATAGTTAAATTAAAATCTATTCCTTTGTTGTAGGGAAAATTTGGCTTTTCACAAAACTATAAACATAGAGCTTTCTACTAGCCAAATATGCATGTAGTGATAGCATTATTTTGTTCTTGCCCTACTGTGTTACTTTGCCAGCATATTCC